TTGAACAGATCAATGAAACCAAGAGTTGGTTTTTTGAAAAAGTAAACAAAATTGACAAACCTCTAGCCAGGCTTATCAAAAAGAAAAGAGAGAGCACCCAAATAGACAAAATTATGAATGAAAATGGACTTATTACAACCAACCCCTCAGAAATACAAGCAATTATCAGGGAATACTATGAAAAATTATATGCCAACAAATTGGACAACTTAGAAGAAATGGACAAATTCCTAAACACACACTCACTACCAAAATTCACACGGGAAGAAATAGAAAACCTGAACAGACCCATAACGAGTGAAGAAATCGAATCAGTGATCAAAAATCTCCCAACAAATAAGAGCCCTGGACCTGATGGTTTCCCTGGGGAATTCTACCAGACATTTAAAACAGAATTAATCCCAATTCTTCTCAAGCTATTCCAAAAAATAGAAGTCGAAGGAAAACTCCCGGACTCATTTTATGAAGCCAGCATCACTCTGATTCCCAAGCCAGACAGAGATCCAACAAAAAAAGAGAACTATAGGCCAATATCCTTGATGAATACGGATGCAAAAATTCTCAACAAGATCCTTGCAAATCGAATCCAGCAGCATATCAAAAGAATCATCCACCAAGATCAAGTGGGATTCATTCCTGGGTTACAGGGCTGGTTCAACATTCGCAAATCAATCAATGTGATCCATCATATCAATAAAAGAAAAGATAAAAACCATATGATCCTGTCAATAGATGCAGAAAAAGCATTTGACAAAATACAGCATCCCTTCTTAATAAAGACTCTCGAGAAAGTTGGGATAGAAGGAACCTACTTAAACATCATCAAAGCCATCTATGAGAAGCCTTCAGCTAACATCATCCTCAACGGGGAAAAACTGAGAGCTTTCCCCCTGAGATCAGGAACACGACAGGGATGTCCACTCTCACCACTGTTGTTTAACATAGTGCTGGAAGTCCTAGCATCAGCCATCAGACAACAAAAGGAAATCAAAGGCATCAGAATTGGCAAAGAGGAAGTCAAACTTTCACTCTTCGCAGATGACATGATACTCTACATAGAAAACCCGACAGACTCCACCAGAAGCCTACTAGAACTGATCCAAGAATTCAGCCAAGTTGCAGGGTACAAAATCAACGTACAGAAATCGGTTGCATTTTTATACACCAATAATGAAGCAACAGAAAGAGAAATCAAGAAACTGATCCCATTCACAATTGCACAAAAAACCATAAAATACCTCGGAATAAACCTAACCAAGGATACAAGAGATCTGTATGATGAAAACTATAGAAAACTTATGAAGGAAATTGAAGAAGACACAAAGAAATGGAAAAACATTCCATGCTCATGGATAGGAAGAATAAATATAGTTAAGATGTCATTACTACCTAAAGCACTCTACACATTCAATGCAATTCCAATCAAAATTGCACCAGCATACTTCTCAAAACTAGAACAAACTATCCAAAAATTTGTATGGAACCACAAAAGACCCCGAATAGCCAAAGTAATACTGAAAAATAAAACCAAAACGGGAGGTATCACCATCCCAGACTTCAGCCTCTACTACAAAGCTGTCATCCTCAAGACAGTATGGTATTGGCACAAAAACAGACACATAGACCAATGGAACAGAATTGAGAACTCAGAAGTGGACCCAAAAGTATACAGCCAACTGATCTTTGACAAAGCAGGAAAGAATATCCAATGGAAAAAAGACAGCCTTTTTAACAGATGGTGTTGGGAGAACTGGACAGCAACATGCAGAAGAATGAAACTAGATCATTTTCTCACACCATGCACAAAAATCAACTCAAAATGGATAAAGGACCTGAACGTGAGACAGGAAACTATCAACACCCTAGAGGAGAAAGCAGGAAACAACCTCCTTGACCTCCACCGCAGCAACTTCTTACTTGACACATCCCCAAAAGCAAGGGAATCAAGAGCAAAAATAAACTGTTGGGACCTCATCAAGATTAAAAGCTTCTGCACAGCCAAGGAAACAACCCAGAAAATTAATAGGCAACCAACGGAATGGGAAAAGATAGTTGCAAATGACATATCAGATAAAGGGTTAATATCCAGAATCTATAAGGAACTCACCAAACTACACGCCCGAAAAACAAACAACCCAGTGAAGAAATGGGCAGAAGACATGAACAGACACTTCTCCAAAGAGGACATCCAGATGGCCAACAGACACATGAAACGATGCTCAGCATCCCTCCTCATCAGGGAAATACAAATCAAAACCACACTGAGATACCACCTCACGCCAGTCAGAGTGGCTAAAATGAGCAAATCAGAGAACTCTAGATGCTGGCGAGGATGTGGAGAAACGGGCACCCTCCTACACTGTTGGTGGGAATGTAAACTGGTACAGCCCCTCTGGAAAACAGTGTGGAGGTTCCTCAGGAAACTAACAATAGAACTCCCTTATGACCCAGCAATAGCACTGCTAGGAATTTACCCAAGGGATACAGAAATGCTGAGGCATAGGAGCACATGTACCCCAATGTTCATAGCAGCACTCTCCACAATAGCTAAAACATGGAAAGAGCCTAAGTGTCCATCAACAGATGAATGGATCAAGAAGATGTGGTTTATCTATACCATGGAATACTACATGGCAATGAGAAACAATGAAATCTGGCCATGTGTAGCAACATGGATGGACCTTGAGGGTGTTATGCTGAGCGAAATAAGTCAGGCAGAGAAGGACAAATATCATATGTTTGCACGTATAGGAGGATTAGGAGGAACTTGACGGAGGAACAAGGGGGAGAAGAAGGGCGGAAATGGTGGGGGAAAGGGAGAGAGGCAAACCATGAGAGACTCTTGAATGCTGACAAAAACTGAGGACTGATGGATGTGGGGGGGAGGGGGGGATGGGCATGGAGGAGGGCACTTTGGGGATGAGCACTGAGTGTTATGTAGAAACTAATTTGACAATAAACTATTTGTAAAAAAAAAAAAAAAAACTCCTCACCAAGAAACAGAGTGTCCCCAGCTCTGCTACACCAGGCAGGAATATCACAGTCCCAAAGGGGACCAAACAGGAAAGACTCATACCACTATGAAGTTGAAGGAAGTTGCCTACACAGGGCTCACTATACATCGTATGTACACATACCCACAGTGCGTCCCCACCGCACCAGTCACCACTTCTCTCCTGTCCTTTATGTGTTCACATGTCCCTGAGGTTGTCCTAGAGCCTCTAGCCCTGTACCTGCTGCGGCCAAAGCCAGAGGACACAGGGTTCTGCTGTGGGAATGCTCTCACTATGGGCGAATAGGTTTTTTAAAAAAAGAAATGTCTCCCCTATTCTTCTAGTTATCTCCCTACAGCCAGTGCTACCTGGTAACTATAGGCCTTTGAGGCTTGTCTGGAATCCACCCCAGTGATATTTTTTGTACTAAGATCAGAAAACCTGATCTGCCTAAAGAGCCCCCTAAGAGTTAGGTGTTCCGGGAACTGAAGTGAAAAGGCTGCCATTTGCAAAGGCGATTCACAATAGCTTGGGCCAGTCGACTGTTTTCCATTTGTGTTCCCTGGAGCCCCTGAAGGTGCCTTGGTAGCTACTGGAGGCGAATGTGGGCAGGAGGTTGATAGAGAAGAGGGGGCAATGTGAACAGTGCCCCCTGGAGTTGTGTGGCGAAAAGACTCTGAGAAAGCAGAAACCTGGCAATACTGTTTCAGCATTAACAATAGAAACAGAAAGCGGTTTAATGTGAGGATTATTTTTTAGTAAACACAGACCCATGTGAACAAGATGTCCTCTTGAAATGCAATCTCAGCCTACAGAACAAGAACCTTGTTCATGGGAAAGTGGTACCAGTCCCTTTCGAAACACCATCTCTCACATCAAACCCAAGAGAGGCTAAGAGCAGCTAAGGAAGGGACTGGACTGAAAGCCCGCAGCCAATCCCCATCCTCTATGTCCCTCACCCACACCAGACCACTAGGTGTCAAACCATAACAAGGAGATCAAGCAACCTCATTACATCTCAACTCCCCCTCCTACATCAATTCTGCTTTTATCATGAAAGATATTTTGTTTACTAGTGTTTTCAGAATAAACTACATACACTCCAAATGGTGTGTCCTCAAAAGCCCCAACTATTTATGAACCACCACTGTGTCATAGCCTCAAAGAATAACTTCTAAGAAAGAAGGTTCAGTATTCTTAATGCTTAACTGCACTTCCCCAAACCTGACAAAGAGCTCTCCTTTCTCTTTATTTGCCTGCCCATGAGTTTGGTCTAGGTGGCACTTGCATTAAGCATCATCACGATCTACTCTGGACTTCAGCTTCTGTAAATATTTGGAAAGAAACATAGTGTGTAATGCTGTGCAGAGTGATATATGAGCTGGTGGTGAATAGAGGATCATCTAGAATCACCCCAGAGAAGGAAAGTGACATTTTGACATGTTCAGCCCTCTGGCTTCCAGCCCACACAGCCCCACTCTTTCAAAAACATTGGACCAAGTCCTTACTGTGAACTTCACAGCCCCTACTGCTTATGTCACCCAAACTGTGGGTGGCTGAGTCCCCAGTCTCAGGACATAGGCCATTGGAAAAGTATGGGTAAGATGATTAATAACCACAGTCTCCTGGAGAATTGGAAATGAGAAGAATTTTAAGAACATCCTGGAAACTAAACTATTATAGAGATGTAAAGAATTATTGCCACAGTATATATTCATTGTTCTTCCACTCCCAATTTTACAGATGAGGAAACTGAGGCCAAAGGAGTGGTCCTGAGGCCAAGGGAGGGATCAAATCCATTAGGGGTCAAATCTGACCCCTTAGGGGTCAAAAGTCATCAGCCATGAGAGCCCCCACTCAAATGTAAGGCACAGGGCAGAATAGGATCCTTAAAGCCGCACGGCCAAATCTGGAGAGTTTAGTGCTTTTCATAGAGAAGTGACACCAAGAGTGTCAAAGCCAAAAGGCAGCCCTGTGATAATGGCTGGACTTTGGTTGTCCTTCCAGCTCATCAACAAAGACATCGAAGAGGCCATTGAAGCAGAAACATCAGGAGACGTGCAGAAGGCCTACTTAACTCTCGGTAAGTAAACCTAGGAGAGTCCCTGACTTAGGGTGGGCTCCTGGAATCAGGCTTGGAGTCAGAGATTTGCATGTGGGAAGATTTTAGGAAGCAGTTTGGGAACGACACACGTCAGCTGCATCGGGTAAGGGAGAGAGTGAGCATGATGCAGCTGCAATGGGGGCTCTGCTGGTCCCCCATGGAGTCCTGGAGCCGGGAGGCAAGGGGACCAATGTTTGCACCACACACCAAGCAACCGGTGGATGCTGGCGGCACCCCAGGAGCATTTGTGACAGTGGGTAAGGCAGGTCTTTGGAGGGACATGCCTAGGGAAAGACTCAGTTGTGAGCAGCCAGTAAGTCGCAGTTGGAATGAGTGTGTTGGTCCCCAAGAGGGCATCTGGGGGATGCACCATGGCATCCACTACAGTCTCATTAAGATCATGGGTCAATGAGAAGAGCATCTGTCAACAGCCTGCACCATTGTCTAGTCTCAGGGAGCAATATGTGGTTCAGCCAGGTTTCCAATCCATGAACAAGTTTTTGCATATGCCTGATGGCTTGAGGGTGTTCTTTTCCACTTGGTTCCCTTCGACATTTGGAATGAATGAGGTCTCTTTAGAAGGAGTAGGGAGGGAGACAAGATCTTCACTGTGCCAAGCAAACACCAGCACCTTCTCTCCAAGTGTTGCCCATAGGCAGGAAATAGCAGAGTGATGGGCATGGAGCTGTGTCTGGCAGGCTTCTTTTTCTTTCTGCAAGCCCCGGAATGAAGGCATTGTCCATTGTCCACACTCTCCTATGCAGAGAAGTCAAGGGCACTGTTTCAAATAGCATAAGAAATGGAAAGACGAATCCCCGGAAGAGGAAGAAATGAAAAAGCAGTCCTGGAGGTTTAAAAATGTGCTCTATCTGCCAAACTTTTTGTTTTGTTTTTCTGTGGGGGCTTTAAAAATTTTTTTAAAACAATGTCAGCAATTGATTTTTTTAAATCCGTCCTCATTTTGCATTTAAATTGGCAGGACCTCTACTAATTTGACCTCTACTATGATGTACAGAAGCCTAAACATCCCTAGTGTCACTAGTCCTGACCCCAACTGGACATGGATGACTGTCCTTGGGGCTTAAAAGATGAGTCTTTTAAGCAAATGGAGAGATCCACTAACAGCCTGACTCAGAGGCTCCAAATTCTTCCTTTCTGAGCTTTGCAGTGTAGAAAATCAGGAAAATACCAGAGTTCAGTCAGAAGATTATATCAGTGATGTTAAACCACTATTGATATCATTAAGAGTAATAAAACCATTCAATTCTTTAACACTTAGTGAGCATCTACCCAGGCTGGGGGTGGTGTTTGGTGAGGGGATTAGAGGTAAATAGGTCCAGTTCTTGCTCTTAGGAAGCTTCAAGTCCATGGTGGAAACAGACAAATCAACAGATTAGGTTACAGTAAAGATAACAACAAAAACAACCAGAGTGAGGAGGATACAGAGGAAGGAAGGGCCACATCCCCAGAGATGGGGACCATGAATGGCAGGACTTAGATGTGTTCTGGGGAGTAAGAAACTTCAAAGTGATTAGAGATGGCCTTAAGTATAAACCACACAAGGTGTAGGACATGAGTTCACAGTTATATTTTCGAGACACTTCCCACCCCACTCATACCGGACTCAAAGATGCCAGTTTACGGCTAAATTTGAGACCAAATGACTCCTAGCACTTGCATGTTTTGAGGCAGCACTTTTCCAGTGGGTTCCAGGGCCCACCTGCACCAGAATCACCTATGGGGAGGCGTGTGACAATACAGATTCCTGGGCCCCATCCCAGGCTCCCTATTAGAATCTCCAAGAATGGAGCCCAGAAGCCACAGTTTTACAAGCTCCCCAAGGGACTGTCTTCTCCTCATGATGGCTGGGCACCCTGCCTTCCAGATACCACAGCTTCATGCCCACAGTTTCCCTGGCTAGCCCCATCCAGACTCTTGAGGGATTCCTTTGGCAGCTAACAACAGACGTTATTCGCCAGGTGTATTTGCATACAGTAGAAAAGCTGACAATTCTCTTCCCAGAATATCAAGAAGAAGGAATGTCAGGAGAGAAGACACCTATGAAGGGTTGGAACGCACTGACATTAGGCATTTCAGCATCGATGAGTCCTGCCTGGGAGAGGGTCTTAAATGAGTCTCAAGTGTGCTATTCCCCAAATTGACCGGTGTTCCCCACCAACTACCACCAATCCAGCAGGTGTTTTTGGATTGTTCTCAGGATTAAGAGGTCAGACACCTGGGGCTGGGCTTTTCTGTTCCACTGAAACTCTGGTGGCTTCCACATGGCCTATAAAAGTAAAAGAAAGACACCCCCCCAACCTAGGTGCTGCTTCTCTAATCCTGTTCCTTTCCAATTTTCAGAAGCATCAATCACGTAGGCAATTACACAGAAAACGAGAGATCCCATCACAGGACATATCTAGGATGTACATCCCACGCTTACGTTGAATGTATTATTTGTTATCAATCACTAACATCAAAAATGTTAAGTGTTCTAGGTAAATGTCAACACCTAAAGAGTAAATGATCCATTTCCCCTAACGTGTTTGCTCCGAGGGGCCCCCATGCACGTGGGAGGAGGGAAGAGGAGAAATGATTTCTCCCCAGGAGTAGAGAGGCACCGTGGCTCACTAATCTGTGGATTCAATCAAAGCTGGCAGGCAAGGGGGAGCACCAGAAAAGAGCAGCTCGCAGAAACATAGGAAGGCAGTCTGTAAACGGCACCAAATATTTCCTGAGGCCGCATCCCAGACGGAAAGCTAAGAAGGCTGTGGGGCACTTGGAAAAGATTTGAAGATGAAGCTCACCAAGCAAACGCAGTGAGGAAAAACAAAGGGCAGGAAGGATGTTTAGCACAGGAAAAGTAGGCCACGGTCCAGCAGAGTGAGTCTTCAAGATTATGAAGTTTTATTATAGCAGAGTCCCCAGCCAATCTGTGTTTCCCCTCGGAACCCAACGCCAGAATCAGAGATTTCATTTAGATAAGAAAGGTTACTCCTGCTGGTAAGAATCAGGACCATGGCAGGGAAAGCCTGAGGGGGGCCACAACGTTCCTCCTCCCCTGAAGGGTCTTCAGGGACCAGCAGAGGGGTTTTGACTTAGTTCTTGGTTGAAGAGCCCAGGTGCCCTGACCCAGGGGAATCTTCCAGATCCCTCTAGAGTAGGAAGCCTGCTCCTTTCAAACATCTGTCTCACAACTGAGTCGGCTCCAAGGACAGCCAGGTGACACTGTGGGCCAGCTCCATTCCTTCGGGGGCTCTCCATGGTATTCAACAACATGTAAGAGCCTCACCTTCTCTTGCCTCTCACCCCGCCCAGTGAGGTGTGCCCGGGACCATGAGGGCTATTTTGCTGACCGTCTGTACAAGTCCATGAAAGGTGCAGGCACCGATGAGGAGACCCTCATTCACATCATCGTGACCAGGGCTGAGGTAAGACACACTCCACTCCCAGGCTGAAGGCTGTGGCTCTCACTTCTCTTTTGGCCACTGCTGACGTCATCAACAGTTTTTCCTAAGGGCCTATTTACAAAAAAAGTGAAACAGAGATAGCCCTTGCCTTCCCAGGCTTTGTGGAAGACCTTGTGCCATGCTTCAACCGGTTTCTTTTTATAAAAATACAATAATGATAGTTGCTTCTATTTTTGCCATCTGTGGCTCCAGACAGCTCGAGGCCTGTGCAGAGGGGACCTGGGGTAGCGCAGCCCACACGCGGTCCCCTGTAAGGAAGACGAAACAGAGACACTGAAAGCATGGGGACGGACGAGGTCACTCAGCAGCAGGGACAATGAGCAAATGACCGCCTCCCTCCCCAGCCAGGCCTTTAATTTAATACAGAAGCACAGTTTTGCACAAGAGACACATCAGTACAAGACAGTATTTCTCAACCTTTTTTATTATTATTATTTTTAGCAATCATCCCACTAAGGAGTGTTTTGGGACCTAGTTTTTTCCTAATTGCCACTCCCCCAAAGCATGAACACTGCAGGGAGACTTTATATCTGTTGATGTTTTGTTTATACATATTCTGTTATATTCTGTATGTATATATTGTGCTCTGTAAATACATCTATAGATTCTATTATGTTCTGTATGTAAATGCATGTGTGTGTGTGTGTGTGTGTGTGTGTGTGTGTGTGTGCTTTTACATAAAAAGATTAAGGTTCTTTTCACCCTCTAAGAACGCATTTTTGCCCCGTTGGGAGCGATATCTCCTGCCTTTGAGAATGCATGCATGTAGGAAAGAGGGAAATGAGCACCCACGCCTGTGAGCAGCTGTCAAGATTCACGCCGACGCTCTGGCACAGGGGGGCTGTAGAGAGAAGGAGGGACAAATGAAGGGGAAATGGCATCTCGACCGCAGTAGGAGAAACCTTGGAGAATGAAGTGTAACTGAGCACTTGAAAAACCACAGACATATTCCCTTAAAAAAAAAAAATTGTTAACTGAAGGGGGACAGATCCCAACCCAAATCTTGGCCCATGACTTTGACAAATAATACTTAACATCTGACACCACTTTTAAATATAACTTAGCAACAAGACCGTTCTTTCATTTTTATTTCTATTCCAGGAATTTCTCCTCCCTCTCCACTGTTCATAGTTTTCTTCTGGCTTACAGTCCGTTTGTCTTGCTCTCCCTTCCTTCCCTTCCCCATCTCTGCGAGTCTCCCGAGTTCACTCCTCTCTCCCACTGTCTCTCCAGATCTCCACTGTCTCTGTCTCTCTGTCTTTTAGCAACTCACTCCCATTCCCCCTTCACTCCCACCAAAGTCTCGAGAGATTCTGAGGCTCAAAGAAGCATGTGCGATATGGAGCAGGGTGGGGATTCTGAAAGACCCCAGGGGATTAGAACATACTGGAGAGCCCACCAGAGCTCCCTGTTCACTCCAACATGAGTGATGGAGTGTTTATTCCAGGATGCTCTGTTCTATCTTAGTATTGGCCACATGTCCTGCGACATCTTAGGAGTTTCTAAGCATCTCCTTAGAATGCTTCAGGCCCAGCCAGATATTGGCCATACCTGACCCCCCCCTCATAGCAAAGCCCCATAATACTAGAACAGAGCCCCAGTGTGCCTCATCCCACCCCCTCACTGACCCACACCGTCCTGCCCCCTCCCCCAGCCAAGCAGTGGACAAGTCAAGGGAGGGGCACACACAGCATTCTGCTGGCGTCTCGCTCCTGCTCAGCCTCCGCTTTGCACAATCCTTCATTCCTCCGCCTTCTGCTCTCATCTTCTTTCTTAGTTCAACCCTCCAACTGGGCCAGAAGGAAAAAGAACCAGAAGGCTGAGTGATGGTTTGTGGATCTGTCTGGAATGCACGATAGAGTCTCAAGTTTTAAAAATTATAAAAAGAACACAACTCCTGGTTAAAGAGAGCTCTCTGCTTCTTTTATGAGACTCACTGTGTTCTCTCTGTACTTACAGCTCTTCTGTTGTGAGTATTGTCTCCCTTACTGGGTTCTAAGAATGTCTGGAGTGGAAAAATCTTTTTATTATTTTTTTTCTGAGTCCTCTGCCCATCTCCAGCACCCAGGTTTTTCAAACTTTCAATGAATTAGGTTGAAAATAAGTCCTACAAATTGATAATTGATTTGAATTTTGTTGGTTGGCATTAATGGTCCTGCTGATCAGGGTACAAGAGGAAAAGAAAAAAGCTTCATTTCAAATCTCTGTGTTGATAGTTTTCTTAACTGTATACCAAGGGTCAGCAAATTGTGGCCTGCAGAAGGGCCTGTTTTTATATAGGCTTGCTACCTAAGAACAGTTTGTTTTTAAATGACTGTAAAAAACTCAAAGGAAAAATATTTTGTAATACATAAAATCATATGAAATTCAAGTTTCGTGTCCATAAATAAATTTATACTGGGATATATATATGTACATATTCCCCTCTGTAACCTTTCGAGAGAACTGGACTCTGCTTTCCTTTTCCTATCCATAAAATAATAGTAATAATAATGATAGCCCCTACCTCAAAGGGTTGTGTTGAGGCATACATGAGGCAAATGAGAGTAATGTATTCAGACCAGTATCCCCACCTGCATCCACGGCGAACACTCTGTAGATGTTCTTGTCCTCACTGCTGTTGTCATTTCTCCTACAGGTCGACCTTCAGGGGATAAAGGCGAAGTTCCAAGAGAAGTATCAGAAGTCTCTGTCTGACATGGTTCGCTCAGACACATCTGGGGACTTCCAGAAACTGCTGGTGGCCCTCTTGCACTGACCCAGGCCAGAGCAGTGGAAGGACAGGGAGGAACCACCTTTGTCAAGAGCCCATTTCAAACCAGATTTGCGAATGTGACTCCAGCACAGAAGGTGCTGAAGAATTCTGGCTTATTTTCCTAGCGGCTTGAATACTGTAGCCAGGCCAAGCTGCTTAGGTGAAGGAAGCAGCCTCTAGACACTTGGGCAGGTCACTGTGAAACCTGGCTGAGCAAGTATCTGAGCTGCCTTTCAGCTTTCCTTTAGCGTGACAACCTGAATGCTTTCTGAGCACAGATGAAATTAGCAGTTGATGAAAACACTACATTTGTAATAAAACATTCAGAAGAATATGTATCCCAAAGAGGTGGGTAAAGACTGAATGGTTAAAGTACAAGGAAGACAAAATTAACCAATCCATCAGTGTTCCTTCTGTGTGTTCAATCTCAAATCCTCAATGTTAATTAAAGTGGATTATGCCCCATCAGCTGCTTTTCCAAAGACTGGGTTGATTGGTTTTGGCTCTTCTCCTAGAAGTATATGACTTGTGAAATTCAAACATATGTGGGAAATGCATATAATAACTTTTATTAATAACTGCCAAAGATAGCAATCAAGGCTAGCAGTAAGGAAACAAATGAGGTGCTCATGTGGAATGTAACTAGGGGTAAAATTCACTGCTACCTGGTATAAATGGTTCTTCTTACTTCTCTAGACATTTGACCCACTTGAGTCTTACATCTGATCTTCAAATACAATTAGGCAGGGCATGGTGCCAACAGGATCAAGGTCAATGGTCTGACTCTCAAATGGATTGGTTCCACACCAATAGAATTTCTGTTCAAGATGTTTGTCTCATAGCCATGAGTTACCAGACATAGAGGGGTCTGTCAGGAGAACATGGACACTTTGATCCAATCATTACAGTTATCATTCATTGGGTGATTATTTGTGTCTGGCACTGCTCAGTAGCACACTTTCATGTTTAATCCTCTCAACAGCCCTATAAGGTTAATAATACTCCCATTTATCAGTTGAAGAAACTGGAAAGTTCATTCCCAGGCCAGTAATGTAGACTAATGCCTCTGTATTCAACACAATACTGTAAGTAAGTTAATATAGACATATAAAGCTCTCTACCCATGAGCAAAACGAGGGTACACACAGGTCTGCCTGCAGGAATTGGGGAATAATTCACAGAGCTACAATTAATGCTGGATGTTGAAGAATGTATTAAAGTTCTCCAGAGAAACAAAATAAAAAGGGAGAAAGCAGAGGTTCGGAAGCATGAGGGAGCAGGATATGCTCAGGAAGTGGTGAAATTCATTCTCCTGGGTATAGATGCATTGAAAGGAGGGAGAGGGTTGGGGAAGGCAGGCCTCGAAGCTGCTGAAAAGTGTGTTTGGATCACATTAGCAATGCTTTTGCCTGCCAAGCATGGGCTCGGTCCTTTGGGCAATGGGAGGGAGGGTCACTGGAGATGTTCAAGTGAGAGTGAGAAAGATGATCAGTTTGGGCCCTTAGCCATTGACCTGGTGGTGCAATCAACATATAGCAAATAGCCCAGACACCTGATCTAAAAGCATCTATCATGCCGTCTCTTTCTAGTGGCTATAAAAGGGTGACTGACACATTAAGAAGTTATGATAATATCTGTGTCTTCCACACGCTGCTTTATCAATCTAGCCGTCACTGTTGTCATTATGAGCTTTAACACATAAAAAGGTTTTCTAGAGCCACGCTCAGTGACAGAACGGACTCATGTTTACTTATTTGTTGCCAAAGCTGCCTTTAAAAACAGAAACAAGGCAGCCAGTTCTTGGGATCTGAGCTCACAGGAAGGACAGAAAAACAAACCAACAGAGTGAAAGGAGGTCTATTAAAAGCAGCCACTGGGGGCACCTGGCTGTCTCAGTCAGTTAAGCGTCCGACTTCCTTTGGTTCAGGTCATGATCTCACGGTTCGGTTCGTGGGTTGGAGCCCCGCGTCGGGCTCTGTGCTGACAGCTAGCTCAGGGCCTGGAGCCTGTTTCAGATTGTGTCTTCCTCTCTCTCTGGCCCTCCCCTGCTCATGCTGTCTCTCTCTCTCAAAAATAAATAAAACATTAAAAATATTGTTTTTTTAAAAGCAGCCACTGTTGGAGATCATTGAAGGCCATCGCTTACACAGAGAAGAGCAGGAAGGTATTTCACAGGCGAGGAAACAGGCCAAGCAAGACTGAGAGGCAACCTCATTTATTTGCTTAAGTTCTCACACAGAAAATGCCGGAATTCAAACCGCGTTCTTCTGACTCTAACACCCGAGCCCTTTGCCCCACTAACTCAGGTCCACAAGTGCTTTCCTCCAAAACTTTGCTGAGCAAGGCACTGGGTACCTCTTTCTGTGGCTGCTGAAAGTTGCTCACTGCTCACAAGCTGAAGCCTGTTTGTGTGCTTGGCTGGGGGCTGCCTCAGAACTCTGGTCTGGTCTGTCCCAGGAATACCCCACCCCGTGGCAGACCAGGAATTTCCTGTTTCTCTCCACACACCCTTGCCCTGTGTAAGTCCCACCTCACCATTCCCCAAGGCCCCTGTTCCCAGAGCTGTCAGGGGGCAGGGGCCTGCCTGGGGAGGGGGCTCAGGGGAGAAAGAGAGGACAAAGTTAGAAGGAAGACAAAGGCTACAGCAACACTAGCTTGTCACCCTCCCACTGAGTGGCCCTGTCTCCCACGCCTCACACTTCTCCTGAGCCACAGCCCCTCCCCAGATAGTTGGATAGATGGGGAGGAGTCTGAACACCATGTGCGGGGCTGCATCAGAAGGAAGCAGGTTCCATGGGTGCATGTGGTAACTCACCATACTTTTCCCCATGAAATTCCGTTCCAGTCCTGACTGGGCTCCATAACACTGCTCACCCAGCCCAAGTCACCTGGATATGGTGGGTAACACAGACCTTGGGGTGCTTGCCTGAGTGAACCACCAAAGAAGCTGAGGTTCCCTTCCAGAGCAAAGGAGGTCCCCGACCAACCGTGGGAGTTCCAGCCCCCTCCTAGTTCCTCTCAGGATCTCTGGGAGTCCCAAGTGGTTCTCTTCACGTAGGCCAATCCCTAACATTTCTGGGTCACGGCCCATGTCCCCTGCTTTTCCCTTTTCTGGGGGAGTGAGAGCTGATTTGTAGCATTTACAGATTTCTATAGCCACTACGGTCAATTTCAAGCTATTGGCATGATGTCGCTGAACATACAGTCAGGAGAAGATGAGCGTTAGCACATCAGTATGTAGTATCTCCACCGTACGGGTACGATAGATGCAAATAACTTCAAGAGCATAGACGATAGTAAAATGTAGCAAATAATTAGGAAGTAACAAATTTTGGGTTTCACTAAATTTGTATCAGTATAATTTAATTGTAAGTTTGTATACTTTGATTTCTTAGTAATCACTAGGTTTAATAACTAACTCCTAAGACTTCTAAGAAGTTAATAATTGAACCTCATGAACCAATAGGAGCCAAGTCCAGCCCTCCACTTGGTGTGGGTCTTAATCCCTTCCTTCCAGAGGACTCCCAAGACAATGTGTACCCTGACTCCAGGTACTCACAAAAGAGGTGATTATCCCGAACACTCTTCCCTGTAATAGATTGTTACCTACCATACATTCAGGGTCATAATGAATAGTTGTGTATGTTGTCTACTGCACACGGCTGCCTGGCTGAGGGGATATTTGGGACCTGAAATCCAGCCCTAATTTCCCCATCAGATTTTGCCTGCAGGGCTGAAGCTAGAGAGGCAGCCAGCTGCTGCCCAGAGAGGGTGCCTTCTGCTAATTTGCACAGAGCTACCATAAGCAGTGGTCCTGGAACTGTAAGGAACCTCTTTTACCCTAAGAGGGCCAGTCAAGAGACTCTTCCCTAGACAGAGTGCCTTGTTATCAGCTTCTTATTCTAAAGATTTTAACTTCTGCCTCTCTAGGTACTCCATACAGCCATATAATCAATCCTTGCAAATCTATTCCTAGGAGAATACTTGAAAGTAAAGATTAAGAGGCAAAAGGAGATGGGAACAATGTTCCAGAAGATGAAACAGAGGTTTTATCACATTCAAGGAGCTAGATGGTGAAGAAGCACAAGGAAGAAGAAGAGGGCTACCCAGGCTGCCTTTAGGAAGATGCCAGCCTCGTCAGGATTAGATGTGACAGCCCCAGAAGACTCTGCCATCCTCACGCAGAGGGCAATGTGTCCCTGCCCTAAGAATGCAGTCTGACTCCTCCAGCAGCAAGAGACAATGCACAAGTCTCCACTAGGCTGCAAACAAACCATTTCTCGGACATACTACCAATAAAAATGCCTCAGATAAGCCCCTAGGAACTAGATAAGCCAAGAAACAAGGGTGCCAGAAAACCAGAAGTGGTATTCAACTCTTCATGCCAACAAGCAGGAGCTACCACATTGAATTCAGAGAGATGTGAAGTGAAAGCTGCCTGTGAGCCTCACTGCAATTTCTTGCATGACCAGGGCATAGGGTGCCAACCAGTATGTTGGGAAAAATAGGGTCAGGGGAAAGAAAAGAGGTGGCACTGGGGGTTGGAAGGGGGGGATTTTTCAAAGTAAAGTTTTATTTTTATTTCTGTATATTTTAGACTTACAGAAAAAGGTGTGACTATATTATAGAGTTCTCATATACCCCACTCCCAGTGTCTCACAGTCCTAACATTAATATGGAACGTTTGTCATGACTGATGAGCTATATGGATACATTATAATGGAATAAAGCCTATGTCTTATTCACATTTCTGCAGTTTTTACCTAATGTCATTTTTCTGTTCTAGGTTGTCATGAGACTATCACATTACTTTTAGTCTTCATGTCCCTTAGGCTTCTCTAGAATGTGACAATTCCCCAGACTTCCCTTGTTTTTGTTGAGCTTGACAGTTTGGGGGGTACTGGGCAAGCAGAATGTTCCTCAATTTGGATTTGTTTGATTTTTTTTTTTCTCATGATTAGACTGGGAGTTTGAGGAGGAAGATCACAAAGGGAAAGTGTTATTAGCAACATGACTTATCACTCTTCATGTTGACTATGACCATCTGGCTCAGTTTGTCAGCTATCTCCACTGTGCTCATTAAAAGAAAGTCACTGTGCATGGCCACATTTAAGGGGTAGGAAATTATGCTCCACCTCCTTGAGGGCAAAGTATCTACATAAATTTTTTGGGATTCCTCTCTTTGGGAGGTTTGTCTGTTCTCCACCTTTATTTATTTAGTCAATAATTTATATCAGTATAGACAGGAATATTTATTTTGTACTTTGGGTACAAATCCAATACTACATTATTTATTTTGTTACTCAAATTGTTCCAGCATTTTCCATTGGGAGTTCTTTTAGTTGGTTCTTATGTCCCTTTGATGTACTCCCTCACTTTGCTTTTTAAGTACTTCTTTAATTTTTGGCACTGCTAGATGCTCCAGGTTCCTCTTGCATATTCCATTCCCCAGCCCTAGAATCTGCCATTTCTCCAAGGAGCT